GCTTGTGGCTTCGAGCAAGCGAATGCGGTGTAATTTACGTGAGCATGCGGCCTTGGGAGCGCGAAGCCATGATACGTCAGGATGGGGGTGTGGCATCGGGAGCGCGAACGCGTTGTAATGTATGAGGGGGCGTGGCGTGGGAGCGCGAACGTGTGGTATTTTATGTGTCTCAGGGCTCAGAGCCGAATTATCAGGAAACGGGGGGCAAGCGCCCCCAGAACACATCCCAAGGCAGACACTACCAGTTTTCTGTTCTGAAGAGGGGTGGCACCCTTGGGCCCTTGGGCAGCCTTCGTGGGGTGGCTTTGTGGCCTTGGGGACGCAACCTTGTTAGTAATGGAGTGGTGGCCTCGCGAGCGCGAACGCGTCGTCATCTGCGAGGGGTTTGTGGTCTTGGGGGCTTCAGCACGCAGTAAATTATGATGGGTTGTTGCCTCGGGAACGCGAGCGCGCCGTACTTCTCGAGGGATTGGCCTCGGGAGCGCGCGAACCCTTCGCAATCTACGAGTGATTACGTGTCCCAGGGCGCTCTCATAGATTCGGCCAACGCGATTCTGGGAGGGGAACTGGGCCCTTTTCGGGCTCCCCCCTTCGCGCGGACTTCAATCATCACAACGCTGGAGCTCGAACAGAGAGAACATCGATAACCATGACGTGGGAACTGTAACTGGCACGTGGAGCAGGGCAGTTTAGGTCACGCAGCCCGCTGGCCCCCAAAGGGAGCCGGCTGACAGCAACAACACGTACGGCCACATTTGGAAACCGAGACTGGCACGTGCTCCCATCTATCGGTAAAAGGGAACGGATCAAAGACGCGAACGCAATTTCGTGGGACGATATTTGTTTCGGAGCGAATCCAGCGTCCCGCTCGCTGGTGCGCGGCCCCACTTGCAGTGGAGTAGCGACGGGGGGGGGGGCGCATGCGCGGCACCCAAGAGGGAGCGCAGCTGTCACATTGGGAAACGCATGCCCACTGATGAGGTAAGCATGGCATATCGCCTTCTTGGGGGCGGCCCCCGATTCCGACGAATTGGCGATCAGCGCGCCCCAGCTGGAATTCAGTTGTCAAGAAAGGCAGCGAGACGCTGGGGCCAGAGCGGCATTTTTTCTTTCGCGTGCGGTGCTTGCTGCGTCCCATCCACTGCCATGTTGTTGGCAGCGTCGACCACAACGTCCATGCTGAAGGGAATTTCTCGACGCTCTGCGTGCCCCCACCAGCCCATCTAGAAACGATGTTCAGGCGAGCTGTCAGGACAAAGGAGTCCGCAGATGGTGAGACAGTGCCGACACTAAATACCTCTTGGCGCTATCTTGGAACTCTCCTGGGACCCTTGTGGGAGCCGTTGGGGTCCTCTCGGGGCTCTCTTGGTGTCATCTTCGGGGTATTCGGTTGTCTCTCGCTCTTCTTAGCCAGAGAAGGTTCTCTGACTGAAAACCTGCACACCAGAGGAATTATTAATCGCATTTTCCTGCGTGTGCTCGTTGCCGACATTCATTTTCCGACATGCTCAGCGCACTGTCTGCCCTCTAGGGGACCGCTCCGGTTACCGGAGCTGGCACGCAGACTTTCGTTTTCCGTTTTCCGTTTTCCTAGGTGCCGTTATGAATGATTGTGTAGGCCTTACAGCTGGTGCCGCCGACCCTGGAGGACGACGACGATGACGAACTGAGGGCCCTGTCGCAGGCTTGGGACATGTGGCGGGGGAGAGGAGTCTGAGGAGGAGGAGGAGGAGGAGGAGGAGGAGGAGGAGGAGGAGGAGGAAGTGGAGGCCCTCTTGGGCCGTGTTTGGGGCCACTTCGGGCACTCTTGGTCCGTTTCGGGCGTTTGTGCGCCCCAGGACCCCTGGGGGGGAAGGTATTCAGATCCGGGACCCCTCCCTTGGGGCTTCCTCCCAGGACCCCCCTGGGACCCCCCCCCGACCCCCCGCCCCGGGGAGGAAAGCATCAAAGGGAAGGGGCTTCCTTTTCGGCTCAATGACGACGTTGCTCAATTTCGCTGTGGTTTCATTTTGGCTGGCTCGTTTGAGGAGGAGGGCCCAGTGAAAGGGGCGGGAGCGGCGACGGGCCCAGGGAAAGGGAGTCAAAGGCGACGACGACGACGACGACGACGACGACGACGACGACGACGACGACGACGACGACGACGAGGACGCGGCGGCGGCGGCGGCGGCGGCGGCGGCGGCGGCGGCGGCGGCGGCGGCTGGCGGCGGCGGCGGCGGCGGCGGCGGCGGCGGCGGCGGGAGGAGGAGGAGGAGGAGGAGGAGGAGGAGGAGGAGGAGGGAGGAGAGGAGGAGGAGGAGGAGGAGGAGGGAGGAGGCGGAGGAGGAGGAGGAGGAGAGGCGGAGGAGGAGGAGGAGGAGGAGTGAGGAGGAGAGGAGGAGGAGGAGGAGGAGGATGATGAGGAAGGAGGAGCGAGGAGGAGGAGGAGGAGGCAGGAGGAGGAGGAAGAGGCAGGAGGAGAGGGAGGAGGAGGGAGGAGGAGGAGGAGGAGGAGGAGGAGGAGGAGGAGGAGGAGAGGAGGAGGAGGCGGAGGAGGAAGGAGAGGCGGAGGAGGAGGAGGAGTGGGAGTGGAGGACGAGGAGTGTTTAGGTGGAGGAGGAGGAGGAGGAGGAGGAGGAGGAGGAGGAGGAGGAGGCCCTCTTGGGCCGTGTTTGGGGCCTCTTTGGCACTCTGGGTCCGTTTTGGTGCATTTGTGAGCCTCGGGACCCCTCGGGGGATGGTATTCTGACCCGGGACCCCTCCTCCGTGACCCCCCTACCAGGGTCCAGGACCCTCCCTCCCACCTCTCTGGACCCCCACCCAGGACCGCACACCGACACCCCGCCCCACCCCCCAGGGGGCAGAGATCAAAGGGAAGGGGCCTCCCTTCGACTCAACTTCAACGTTGCTCAATTTCGCGTTGGTTTCGCTTTGGCTGGCTCGCTTGAGGATGATGGCCCAGTGAAAGGGTGGGGAGCGGCGACGGGCCAAGGGAAAGGAGATCAAACGCGACGGCGACGGCGACGGGGACGACAAGGATGACGACGAGGAGGAGGAGGACGACGACGACGACCACGACGACGAGTCAAACAGAACAGCGTCTTTCACACGCCGACAGGGTCGGCTGATTATGGGCACTTTTGCGCGTTGCTCTTGGGACCGTCATGCGAATCCAATGAGTTGGCAATTCCCCCTCCAACCTCATCACCCGAAGGGTGGTCTATGCTGTAGTAATAGTGTGTGTGTGTGTGTGTGTGTGTGTGTGTGTGTGTGCGGGTCTCTGGAAGCCACGTGGCGCCTTCAGCCTAGTCGTAGTGGTAGTGGTGGTAGTCTTAGTCGGAGTTACAGTATTGGTAGTGGTAGTGCAGGCGGTAATTGTCGTAGTAGTAGGAGCAGGATTTCGTTGATAATGGCTGTGCGCTGCTGCTGTTGACGACGACAACGATAGTGACGATGACGACGACGACGATGATGATGATGATGCTGATGATGATGATGCTGATGGTGATGATACTGATGATGACGACGATGCTGACGATGATGATGACGATGATGGTGATGCTAAGGAACATGATAATCATGATGTTGTTGATGATCATTAGAAGGAGGATGGAGACGCTGCTGCTGCTGATGATGATAACGATGATGCTGATGATGCTGCTGATGGTGGTGATGATGTTTTTGATGATTATTGTAAGGATGATTGTGATAATGCTGATGCTGCTGCTGATGCTGATGATGAGGGCGATATTGATGATGCTGATCATGATGACGAGGATGCTGTTTATGATGATACGGCGATGATGACGATGATGATGCTGCTGAGGGGGATGATGGTGCGGCTGTTGATGATGATCATGATGCTGATACGGAGGATGCTGATGGTGATACTGATGACGATGACGATGACGATGATGATGATGATGATGATGATGACGATGATGATGATGATGGTGATGCTGAGGATGATGATGTTGATGATGCTGATGGTGGTGATGATGATGAGGATGATGATGATGCTGATAAGGATGATAGTGATGACGCTGATGCTGCTGCTGATGATGATGATGCTGATGATGATGATGATGATGATGATGATGCTGAGGATGATGATTTGGATGACTATTGTAAGGATGATTGTGATAATGCTGATGCTGATGCTGCTGCTGATGATGGTGATGATGAGGGCGATGATGATGCTGATGATGATGCTGATCATGATCATGATGATGATGTTTATGATGATAAAGCGATGATGGTGACAATGATGACTATGCTGCTGAGGAGGATGATGATGCTGCTGATGATTATGATCATGATGCTGATACTGAGGATGATGCTGGTGATACGGATGTCCATGACGACGATGATGATGATGCTGATGACGATGGTGGTGATGATGCTGATGATGATGATGATGATGATGATGATGATGATGCTGTTGCTGCTGATGATGTCGATGATGATGCTTGCTGATGATGGTGATGACGCTGATGCTGATGCTGATGCTGATGCTGCTGCTGATGTGATGGTGATGTGCTATGCTGACGATGATGGATGCTGCTGCTGATGATGATGGTGATGCTGACGAGAGATGATGATGATGATGAATGATGATGATGATGCATGATGATGATGATGATGATGATGATGAGGCTGATGATGAGGATGATGGTGATGATGATGATGATGATGAGGATGATGCGATGATGATGAATGATGATGTGATGATGATGAGGATGACTAAGATGACGATGTGCGCTGATGCTGATGCTGATTGATGATCTGATGAGGCATGCTGATGTGCTTCTGCTGATGATGATGATGATTATGAGGAGGAGGAGGAGGAGGAGGAGGAGGAGGAGGAGTAGGAGGAGGAGGAGGAGAGAAGAGGAGAGGAGGAGGAGGAGGAGGAGGAGGAGCAAAAGGTGCAGTGCTACGACACGGAGGGGAACACAACGGACGGGGATGAGGAGCAGCTTGGGTAGAAACGGAGGAATTTGGGTACAACCAAGTGATTCCCGCAGGTAATTCTCTGGGCAGGGTTTGCACGCATTTGTTTTGACCCTGTACTGGACTGCAGAGGGGTGGGAGGGGGAGCTCTGGAGAGGCGCCAGGGTTCCTGCGCCGCAAGCCAGGGACCAGGCGCTCATCCGCGAAGCGGATCGCATGACGAACCACTGCATCTTCCGCGAGGCACCGCGCGCATGCCCGCGAGGGGTGGAAAGGAGGGAGGGAGGAGGAGGAGGAGGAGGACTAGGAGGAGGAGGCAGACCACAGTAAATTCTAGACGCTTCGCGTATTCTCACCAGTTATTGGCCTATGCGCCGTCGTTGCCAATTATCTTGCCTTGTGCCCCAGCCGAGCCCGTCCCGCTTCCTGGATTTGTCCTTGTGAGCCGTCAATCAAAAAAGTATTCTCACCAGCGATGTCGTGGCCCGGCTAGAGTTTGGACGCCTTTTGACCCGCTTCACGAGGTCGTTGACCCAAACAGTATTCCCACCAGCGTGTTCATGGTCGCGCCGCCGCGCCATTTTGGCTGCGCTTACTTGCTGGTCGCCACCGGGATTTCCAACGCCACCGGGTTTGGGAGTTTCGGATCTGGCTCTCCTTCTGAGTGGCTGCCCGCTCGCTCGCTTCGCTAGCCTTTCTTTACCTGCTGCCTAGTGGCGGCCCGACTAGTGTTCGGACGGCTTTCGACCCGCCTCGCGAAACAAGTATTCCCACCAGCCTGCTTCCCGCGCTTAGTTGTGCCTAGATCTGATCGCCCCCCCGGTGATGAGCCAACCAGCAATGTGGCTGTTAGCCACCAGGTCGGAGACGAGGTCGGTGGCCAAGTCCCCCCCAGGCCGATAGCCGCCGGCCACCCATGTGTGGCAGAAGGAGAGGACGCCCAGCACCCCCCCCAGTGGGAGCCGCCTGGTCCTACCCTCTTTTCCTGGTCTCGTGGCTGTTTGCCCCTATCCCCTCAGACAGGCGGCCCCGCTGGGTGCAGGGTCTTGCGAGGGCACCGTGGCGGGAGACCTTCGCCGGCTGGGCCGCCAGGCGCCACCCTTATCTACTGTTAGTGTGGCTGTTAGCCACCTTCACCGAGGCGAGGCGGCCCTACCAGTTTTTGAGTCTCAGTCAATGGAGCCCCCCTCTGGCCTCTGCGCAGCCCCCAGTGGCGCCCCCCCAGGCCTCTGCGCTGCCCCCCCCCAGGCCTCGGTGGAGCCCCCCCCCAGCCCCCACCGAGCCGACCCCAGTGTACATGGAAAGGAAAGCGCAGGGACAGAGGACGACAGAGACGACGATGAACAATGACGGCGAGGACGACTCGAACGGACCCCCCCCTCACAGACGCCGACAGGGTTTGCGGATTAAATCTTTGTTCGTGCATCCTGTAAGTCGGGGTTCGCCCTGGCGAAAGCGCGCATGCGACCGTCCGCATGTTGGCCGCCACGGCAGCGGCAACCAGGCGACGGCTTCCGCCCTGGCTGCTTGCCCATGGCAGGAGGCCAGCATCGCCTTGCATCTTCTGGCGGCCTTGTGCTTTGCAAGTGCTCCTGTCCGCGTGGACTCCATTTCCCAGCCGGCCTTGAGGGGAGGCTGAGGCCCTGTGGTGGGGGAGGCCTGCTTGAGGGCGGAGAGCACCGAGGAGGAAGAAGAGGAGGAGGAGGCGGAGGAGCAGGAGCAGGAGCAGGAGGAGGAGGAGGAGGAGGAGGAGGAGGAGGAGGGAGGAGGAGGAGGAGGAGGAGGAGGAGGAGGAGGCACAGGAGGGAAAGGAGGTGAGGACGCCAGGGCGGCGACGACGGCTGCAGCCAAGAGCCGCAGGCGACAGAGGACGGCGATGGCAAGAAAGGGCACGGAGGACGAGGGAGTGGGATTGGCGGCGGCGCCATCAGCCTGGTCGGATGACGGTGAACTTCGCAGAGCTGGTGGGCGACTGCAGCCGATGTTGCGACCAACGATTGGTCTGACAGCAATGTATGGTGTCGGTGTGACCAGCTTCTCCACGCAGCGCGTGCGCGATTTCAAGAAACGTTACCATACAGCACTTGGCACGCGTACGCAAAGGTTTGTGGCTATGGATATAACTCTAGATCGCACTCTACACCCAGGAATGTTAGCACATACGGTGGTTCTGACCATGTGGGCGGTTTCGCGGTGGGATGGAGTTGTGTCGGCATCGTTGCTCGATGAAGTCTTATTGTGGGCGAGTCGGAGCGTCGCCGCCGACGAGCCTTGGTTTGACTTGCACGGACTGGCATCCGTAGTGGCTGCCACTCTGCTGAGATTGGGTTGGTCTTTAGCTATTCCCATTACCCGGCTCACAGTTTCTGGGATGTCTGCTGATATTACACGGGTGGCACCTCCTGACTTATTTGTACCCGTCGCTCGGGGCGCTGAGCCATGGCTTGGAAACGGGCCACTTCCCAGCACACTTTCCTGCAGCATCTCGTGGGGACTCCATTTTTGACCCCTGACAGGTCCCTCCTCACCAAGGGGTCGCCAAGTCTCGGATCCGCTCCTAAAACTACTTTGAAAGCAATTCTGTCTCGAACTTTGCGCCTCCCGCTTCAGTGTATTTTTATGGTCATGTTGCTGATGATCCAGCGTGCGCAGGGTCTTATATGATCTGTCATTGCTTTGGTATTCTCCGGCATCGCCAAACCCTTCGTATGCCTCTTGGGATTTCTATGGCGCGTGAGCGTCATCCAGATGATTCTGTATGGTACACGGAGGGGACTCCTGGGCACCATATGCCTGTCCTATCCCTCTAAGTATGGACATAGTTTATGGCGGTGCTAGCCCCCCCAAAGAACAGGCGCCCCACCCACCGTTGAAGGTTGATGTCTCGAACTGCTCAGGGTCTCTCGATCCCTGTGGTCACTTGTAGGGCAGTTCAACTTCTGCCTATTCTTTGCGCGGGAGCGCGAGCGGCGCGCCTCAGGCGTCTTTTCGTTCCGCCACGCGCGAGCGGCAGCCGCTGTCGTCGCCGGCGCCGTCGCTGGTCGTGCCGCTGCGGGCGTCCCGTCGCTTGTCTCGTCGTCGTCGCCGTCGCCGTCCCGGCCGCCGCAGTCGCCATTTCCGCCCGTGGCTGCTTGTTGTTCTTTTGCCTGGACCTCGTGCCCCTTTCTGGAGGCGCGCGAGGCCAACCTAGAATTCTAGAATCCTCCTCCTTCCGCCCCCCATCCCTGTCTCTGCTTTCCGCATGTCCGCCCGTTCGAATCACCCTTCGGAGTTTCATGGCCCCATCGGGAGCTCGACCGAAGGGCCCAGAGGCGACACCTCGCATGCGGTTCCCCAACCCGGCACAGCGTTTCGTGGCCCCATGGGGAATTCCACCGAAGACCCCAGAGGCGATTTTTGCCATGCGGTTCCCCCCCACCCAGTACAGCGTTTCGTGGCCCCATAGGGCACTCCACCGAAGGCCCCAGAGGCGACGTTCGCAAGCGGTCTCCACCCAGTACAGCGCTTCGTGGCCTCCTGGGGAGCTCCACCGAAGGCCCCAGAGGCCACGTTCGCTTCCGTCACCCTTATCGATTACAGCGTTTCGTGGCCTCCTCAGGAGCTCCACCGAAGGCTCCAGTGGCCGGGGCCGTTTGCGTCTCCCCATCCCAGTGCCGCGTTTCGTGGCCCCATAGGGAGCTCCACCGAATGCCCCATAGGCGACGTTCGCTTGCGTCTCCCCCGCCCAGTACTGCATTTCGTGGCCCTAGAGGGAACACTGACGACCACCCCAATGGCTGCGGCCGTATGCGTCCCCCCATCCATGACGGCACACCCCTCGCGAGTTTCGTGGCCTCATGAAGAGCTCCACCCATTGCGGTACCTACAACGCGGTATTCACAATTGCATCTGTTTTTGGTCCTTTGCCTGCATATTCTAGCGTGACAGAGGCTCAGAGCACCATCCTTGGGGAAGGCTGCTTGGGCGTCGTCGCCTCCGCCTCCGCCCCCCCCCCGTCGGAGGAAGGGGGGCGACATCCTCATCCTCACCACCACCACACCTCACAACCACCACCACACCACACCACCCCACACCACCACCACCACCACCACAACACCACCACCACCACCACCACCACCACCACCACCACCACCACCACCACCACCACCACCACCACCACCACCACCACCACCACCACCACCACCACCAAGGGGGCCGTCCCCAACGAGGGGGTCCACGATGCATCCCCGAGCTGGGATAGGGGATGTCTCGTGCGAGAGGGTGGGACCACACCACCAGGAGGACCCTCGGTGGCGCCTCGTGCTGGTGGCGGTGATGGTGTCTTCGCTCCTTGCTCCTACCCCCGCTGCCCGCAGCTCACGGTGATGGGCCCGGCGGAACTGTCGGAACACCGCTGGTACAGCAAGGACCGCGGCTCCTTTGCCGCCGTCCGCGCGGCTGCCTCGCACGCTCCGAAGCCTCCTGCGCGCCGCATTTTCTGCCAGCTGCATACAGCTCCGAGCGCCGAAATATGGATCACATGGTTCGGAATGGGCTCGAGGGTTCCTTAGATTTCCCCCTGCTGGTGGACTCAGAACAGACACACCAGCCTGGCTGGAAGAAGATGGGCGTTCCGCATTCAAGGTTCCCGACGGCAGTATATTTTATTGTGCACACCCTCATCGTTTGCCTTCTTTGCGGTGCTCAGCCTGCGTACGCACAGTCAACCCGCATAGTAAGGAGGAGAGACTTTCCAAGGTTACCCTAGCATCCTTGCCCCTTCGGCCAATCCTTGGCCGCTTTCGCTGGCCGCGCCCCGCTTGCAGAGTGTCGACATGGCCCTCTGAGGACCTTGCACCCTTATCGTGCATCTTTACTCTTCGAATTGGCTGTAGGAATTCTCAAAGGCACTTGGAGGTTCCTCAGGATCCCAGGGTCGCTCTGACCAAGAGTTGCTCGCGCCTGATGTTATTCGGGTGTGGAGCTCGCTCTGGAGAGATGGAGGAGAGAGGACTGAGGGAGGTAGGAGGGATGAGGAGAGGAGGAGGATGGATGAGAAGAGGGATAGTTAATGAGGGAGGAGGGGGGGAGGGTTGGGAAAGGAGGAGGAGGAGGAGGAAAAGGGCCTTGGAGGAGGAGGAGGAGGAGAGCGAGGAGAGGAGGCAGGAGGGGAGGACGAGGAGGTGGAGAGGAGGAGGAGGAGAGGAGGAGGAGGAGGAGGAGGAGTTGGGTGAGGAGGAGGAGAAGGAGGAGGAGGAGGAGGAGGAGGAGAAGGAGGAGGAGGAGGAGGAGGAGGAAGATGAGACGGAAGACTGAGGAGGAGGAGGAGGCGGAGGGAGGAGGAGGAGGAGGGCACATGATACGGGACACGGAAGACGGGAGACGGGGGAGGGGAGATTGAGGAGGAGGATGGGGAGGAGGATGGTGATGCTGCTGCTGCTGCTTCTGATGATGATGATGACGATGATGATGATAATGATGATGCTGATGATACTGATGATGATGATGATGATGATGATGATGGTGATGATGCTGATGATTCTGCTGATGAAGATGATGATGATGCTGATGATGACGATGATGGTGGTTCGGATTGAGATGCTGATGATGACGATGTTGATGATGCTGATGCTGATGATGTTGATGATGATTGCGATGATGATGATGATGATGATGATGATGATGATGATGATGGTGATGATGATGATGATGATGATGGTGGTGATGGTGACCATGATGCTGGTGCTGATGATGATGGCGCTGAAGACAATGACAGTGATGATCATGATACTGTTGATGATTATGACGATGATGCTGACGATTATGACAATACTGATGATGATGACGACGAAAGTGCCATTTATATCAATGCATGTAGCTGGTTATGATGATGACAGTGCTGCTGATGATGATGATGGTGGAGGTGGTGGTGCTGAAGACGACGATAATGATGTCCATGATGCTAACGCGGCTGCTGATGATGATGCTGATGATGCTGCTGATGATAACGATGACGATGATTACCATGCCGACGAAGATGGCGACGATAATGATGATGCAGATGCTGATGATTCTGCTGCTGATGATGCTGATAATGCAGATGATGATGCGGATGATGGCGGCGATGATGACGATGTTGCTGACGATTGTGACGATACTTCTGCTGATGATGACGATGATGATGATGATGATGATGATGATGCTCATAGAGATCATGATGATGATGACGACGATGATGATGATGATGATGATGATGATGATGATGATGATGATGCTGATGATGATGATGATGATGATGATGATGATGGTGGTGCTGATGATGCTGATGATGATGATGATGATGACGTTGACGATGATAACGATGCTGCTGATGATGATGAAGCTGATACTTATGCTGACGATTACGACGACGATGATGATGGTGATGATGATGGTAATGATGGTGATGCTGCTGATGATGATGATGATGATGATGGTGATGGTGGTGATGATGATGATGATGATGATGATGATGATGATGATGATGATGATGATGATGATTTATTCTGGTGATAGTGATAGTGATGGTGATGATGATGGGTGTGATGATGATGGTGGCCGTGATTGTTATGGTGATGATGATGCCGATGCTAATGCTGATGCTGATGCCGATGCTGACGCTGATGCTGATGATGATGCTAGTGCTGCTGTTGCTGCTGATGATGACGATGATGCTGATGATGGTGATGATGATGATGATGATGATGAGGAGGAGGAGGAGGAGGAGGAGGAGGAGGAGGAGGATGAGGATGAGGATGCTCCACTGCATCTGAGACGATCAGGAGCCCGAGGTCGAATGCCGGCCGAGCCCACACGCTTCCTTCGGCGCCTCGCCCGCAGCGTCGGGTCGTGCCCAAAGGCACTCGCCCATCGGCGGCGGCCAATCGCCGCCGCGTGAAAGAGACGTCTCGCGCGAGCCATCCTCCTCCTCCTCCTCCTCCTCCTCCTCCTCCTCCTCCTCGCTGCCGGAATGCGGCAGCCGACGGCACAACACTCAAGGGAACATTGCCCTCCGCTGCTCGGAGGCCGATTCTGAGTGTCACTGGGTAGTCGAAGGCCAGACTGTCAGATTGGATTGGGCCCCAAGGGCCAATCTGGCCCGGCCAAGCTGGACGATTTGGGTGATTCGCCAGACTGGATTCGCGCTGGCTCCCTCGCCAGATTGCTCCCGTTTGCCAGATTGGGCCTGCCAGATTGGCGCCAGATTGGCTTCGACTACCCAGCCTAAGGGAACATTGCCCTTCGCTGCTCGGAGGCCGATTCTGAGTGTCAGCACACTGACGCTCATGGCTCCACTCCGGCTCAGGGGCTTCCCGCTGCATGGGGCCCCGGAGAGCGGGGGACCTCGCCAGAGGCGGGCACAGCGCGCATGCTATACATTGCGAGCGGCCTTGGGATGCAACGCAGCCGAATATCACAGGCGATTTTTCTTCCCCAGCCCTCGACCTTTCGACGAAAAGTGAAGCAGCTCAGAAAAGGGGGGAAACTCTGGGATGCAGCCCAAGGGGGGCCATTCGGACGCCCCCCCACCCGTCGTATATCCCAGGGTTGGGCCCCAAACTTCTGGTTCGTTCTGAACCTCACGAAGCCTGGGATAGGGGTCGACATATCCCCTGTTAGAGTACCCTGTTGCACCCCCTTGCCGCTCGGACGATGAACCCGAGCGTCGGCGAGAGCCTATGCTCCTGGATCTGCCTCCCCTTACGCTGCCGAGCGGAGGCCACGATCGCCTCCCAGCGTCAGAGAGAGCGGACTGGGCGTTGGGGTGCAACGCTGCCCAACCGCAGCACTGTTGCACCCCCTTCCCGCTTGGAGGATGAGCCTAGGCGTCGGCAAGCCTGTGCCCATGGGTCATGATGGTGATGATGGTGGTGGTGGTGGTGACGATGATGCTGATGATGACGAGTGTGGTGATGATGATGATGCTGATGATGCTGATGATGCTGATGATGCTGATAATGATGATGCTGGTAATGATCATGATGATGATGCTGCTGCTGATGATGATGATGATGACGATGTCGATGATGAAGACGATGATGATGCTGATGATGGTGCCGATGCTAAGCATGCTGATGACGATGATGCTGATGATTAGGATGATTGTGACGATGGTGGTGGTGATGATGATGGTGGTGGTGATGGGGGTGGTTGTAATGATGATGATGATGCAGATGGGAGGAGGATGAGGATGAGGACGAGGATGAGGACGAGGATGTTGATGTGGCTGAGGATGAGGATACAGATGATGACCATGCTGCTTTATATGCTGATGATGCTGATGTTGCTGATGATGCTGATGCTGATGATGATACTGATGATGATGATTCCGATGTTGCTGATGCTGTTGCTGTTGATGCCGATTATTATGATGATGGTAACGATGATGCTGATGATGTTGATGATGATGATGATGATGATGATGATGATGCTGATGCTGATGCTGATTTTGATGATGATGATGATGATGATGATGATGATGATGATGATGATGATGATGATGGTGATGATGGTGATGGTGGTGGTGGTGGTGATGATGCTGATGATGATGCTGCTGCTGATGGTGATGATGATGAGGAGGAGGAGGAGAGGAGGAGGAGGAGCACAAGCAGCTGCAGTGCGTTGCTCTGCGTCCAATTTCGAACCTTACCCCTGCGTGTCCAGTCGATGGTGGGGTGTCGGACATCCCTGCTGGGCTTCATTTGACTCTATACATCCTCCGAATTCTGAACCCCAGCAGGCGTTTCAGAAATCTGACATGCTGGGTTAGGGTTCACATGTGTTTGCTCCGTAGCAGCAGCAGCAGCATAATCAGGATCGAAAGGAGGATCGGGAACAGGAGGTCCGCCAGACGTCACGAGTCACTGGAGTGGAGCATCCAGGCTCTCGAATGCATCCCAGGGACCAGGCCAAGCTGGTGCTGCAGTGTGTCGTGTGCCTCAGTGTAATGCCTGCCCCCATCTCCGCAGGAGGCTGAGGCAGAACTTGACCTGGCCTCACAGTCCGCTGGCCCCTGGGAACGCTCAGCCCCACCTTGGTGGCCAAGTCTCCCTGTTCTAGCTGTGCGCGCTAGTCGTTGCAGCACTCGCAGCTGGTGTAGCCGCGGTCTCTGTTGCAGCCGTCGTACCTGCACGAGTCCTTGCAGCTAGGAGTCGTTGCAGCCCAAGGGCACCCTTGCATCCTTGCCCCTTCGGCCCATCCTCAGGGACTTTCGTTGGCCAGCCTCGCTCGAAGAACGTTCACATGGGCCTCCAAGGCCCTGGCATCCTCACCGTGCGCATCCTTATGATGCTGGTTGGCGGTATCTTCCCCGCTCGTGACGAGCCTCGAAGGTCTCGAGGATGCGGAGAGGCCTGGGCTCTCCTTCCCGCCCAAGCGCACAAACAGACACACACACACAAGCACAAACACACAAACTCACACACAAACACACAAACACACACACAAACACACACACACACAAATACACACAAGCACACACACACACCAACACACACCCAAACATACACAAACACAGGCGCACTCACAAACAAACACGCACACGCAAACACCGGCCGCCAGGCGAGCACCCTGGAGCTCTACTCGCCCTACGCGTCGGTGCCGGCGGAGGTCAAGCAGGACCGCCCGCGGGGCGGTGCCGGGGCTCTGGCGGGAGAGGGCCGAGTCGGACGGGGCAAGGACGAGGATAAAAACCTGCTCCAGAGCGTTCCGGCACGCTCCGAGAATGCCGGCAGGCCAGACGGGGCTAGGATTAAGTCGGGCATGTCCTTCTACTGGAGGAATGCTCAAGAATAGATTCTTAAACATATGTTGACGACTTCTCGGCTACTTTTGACTATTTTTGAATGTTTTTAGACTGTTTCTCCTTTTTCTTCCAAAATCCGCCTGTAGGAGGACATGCCCGACCCAAGGCTGGGACGAGGATGAACCCGCTCCAGAGCGTTCCAGACCTCTCTCAGAAGGTGCTCCGGAACGCTCCGGGTATGCCGCGGCGCCCGATGCATTTTCCAAGCACCCGCCGATGCTCAGAGACTCTCGATCCATCTCGGCGGCGAGCGACTTTCGTGTCTTCGGGGAAGGATCAGAAAAAAAGAACTTCTCTCAGGAGGAAAAGAAACACACAGACACAATGAATCGTCGATTCTCCAGAAGGCATGGAAAAACATGGGAAGTGGGGGGGAAGACAGAAACCCAGAAAATATGGGAAAATATGGGGAGTATCTTTATTTGTGTGTATTTATTTGTGTGTCCTGGGGCCCCTTCATTCTCAGAAGGCCAGGGGACTCCGAGCCTTCTCGCCAGGCCCGCCCCTTCTCGCCTCTCCCCCGCCGCTCGCCGCCGATCCGTCCTCACCCGACGTCGTCCTCGTCCCGGCTTCGTCTTCGAGCGAGGGGCCGGCGCGGGGGGGTCCTCCGGCGCGGGGGGGTCCTCCTCCTCCTCCTCCTCCTCCCCCTCCTCCGCCTCCTCCTCCTCCTCCTCCTCCTAGCCGCGCGGCCCAGGCGTTCCACATGCCGCGGCTGCACGGAAGCAGGCGCGCCCCCCGCCAGACCGACTGCAAGGCGCGACCACCGGCGCCCCGCTACTGTACGTGCCCACTGTACATACTCTTGTTGATTGCATGCTGGTGCCTGGGTCTCGTGAATGATTCGAAGTGTCTGATGAGAATAGTATGTTGGAACCCTCTGTCTATTTCCGATAGAGATCGAGAACTCGAGTTGCAGTATGAGTTTGCCAAAGTGGATATTGTGGTTTTAGTTGTGACACAGAGACGTGCGTTTTCTTCTTCGTATGTGGTGGAAGATCTACCTAACTTCAAAGCTGTACACATGGGATACGATCCCAAGAGTGCGCATTCTAACTGTTCGTGCGGTGTCTCCTTTTATATTAACAAAAATACTGTACGTGCGAGAGATGTGGTGAGGATTTGGGTGGCACCCAAAGACATTCGTGGACGGGGAGGAGCTATTCGAGTCAAATCGTACTATGGGGATGTGACGTGCATGGCGCTCTACTTTCCACCAAGGAGTCGTGACCCCAGGGAGCAGAACCGACTGACTACCACGGTGAACAAGGTTCACGACTTTGCACATCACGTGATGTCATGTCTACCGAGCAGGACCACGCCGATCGTTGCTATGGATCTCAACGATGGGCTTGGTCGCTGTCATGGACCCCACGGACTCTCTAACATTGTGTCGTCAGCGCTGGGTGAACACGGACGCGGAGAGGAGCACCTGGCAGGAGGACTGATGAGAGGCTTCGCGGAGACGTACTCGCTTGCGGCCGCAAATACGTTCTTCCAGTGTGGTCCAAGCTACTACGGTGTTGTCCCTGTCGAGGCAAGGATAACGTCGGCTACCCCGAGCTTCCAGAGCACCCAGAAGGGCACCAAGAAGCAGCATGCGTCGTATATTGATCATGTATTTGTTCCTGAATGCCATGTGCATAGGATCCAAAGGTTTACGCAAGCAATGAGGGCTGCGAAGCGGCTCCAGATCATACCAGACAGTCGTCCCAGGGACCACATCCCCTTTGTCTTCCAACTGGAGCTGAGACCCTGCTATCGTGCGGAACCTCCTCGGAAACGCTGGGATTTCGTGGGGCTGGGACTTGCACTACGTAGTGAGCATCACGCACAAGTGTTTCGCAAGAGTGTTGAACATGCCGTTGAGTCTCTACTTGAGCAGAGAGGTGTGGGGTCCCTGGAGGAGCTTGTCCAATCTGAGAACCTCGAGGATGCCTGGAAGACCCTGATGGAGCTCATCCAGGAGAAGGGGCTTGAGATCTTTGAGGCCAATCCCAAGGCTATGCCAGCTGAGTACTCACAGATGTCTCGGGAACGTGTGCGGCTTCTGCGGGAGAGGGGAAAGACGCGTGAAAGGTGTACTGGCTCTTTGGAGTCTACTTTGGCTTTAACCCGAATAACTAAGAAGTGCAGGTTGTTCCGTCGGCAACTTCGTGAGCTCCGTGAGGCCCAACTGTCGGAGGAACTGTTGGAGGCACAATCGAAGGGACTCGCTTCGGAGGAGTGGAGGATATGTAGACTTATGGCGGGGGCTGGTGTGGGACCTAGGAGGAGGAAGTATGGACATATTGCGTCTTACACACCGAGCATGGAGGAGTGGGTGGAGGATCTTGCGATGCCGTCGAGCAAGGGTGGAATGAGTGCGACCGAGATCAGCGAGGCCGATTTCATCACGAGCGCCTCGAGGTTCGACGATGACGAGTTTCCCTCAATCGATGACGTGTCACAGGCTGAGCACGACTTTGAACGCATTGCCAAAGGTTTTCGCACAGCACGCCGAAGGCGTGCTGCAGTGCCGTGGAGCGTGCCGAATGAGATTTGGTCGTTGCTGCTTTCGTCGCGCCAGTCTGAGAAGGTGCGATCGGCAGGACTTGGAGTTGGGCCCCCAGAGGGCATCGGACAGATGATCAGTAAGTGGGTGAAGTGTATTCTGACCAAAGTTCGTCAGCATGCTAGGCTTGTTGCACATTGGAACGTTTCTTTTACTTATCAGTTGTCGAAGGATAACGATAAGACACGCACACAGAGTACAAGATTGCTTCACGGTCTCTGCTCGTTCGGCAAAATGTGGGTGAAGGTGGCGAGGAGGAAGGCGAGGGCGATGCCGTGCTGCGATTACGGCTACTTACCACGACGTTCGGGAACGGGGGCGATTCGAACTACCGCGGCGCTTTCCTGGAGGGTGTCTCGGGGCAGGGTGTCTACGGTCGATACGAAGCACGATATGCGGAACGCGTTCGGGTCCGTGAAGCACCAGTCTCTGGACGAGGCCGTGGATAGGCTGTATGATGCTACGGGCGCTCACATCCTGAAGCAGAGGCATCGAAGGGCGTGTTTTCGGGTCGCGGCCGATGGCGGCTACAAAGTTTTTCGCAACACGGAGGGGAACTACATGGGGGATGCCAATGCTGCCACTGTGTTTCAGGAAGCGTTCGCGCCGCCAGAGAATGAGTGGCAGATTGGCCACCATCAGAAGTTTCAGAATCGTCTACTGGGCACTTGCGCTGTGACAGGCGAGAAGTGCGACTTGAGCCTGCGCGTCTTTGCAGATGACCTGAACAAAACACATATTGTTCGGGACCTGGCCGATGCAAGAGCTATCGTAATGCACTCAGATCGTCTACTGGATGGATCGCTACGCGAACGCGGTGTCTTCCAGAGCGCGGGTAAGAAACAGGTGGTCCCTCACTTCAGTGGTCCTGGGGCGCATTGGGCCACAAAGATGGCCTTCTCGTATGGTGCTCATGATCTCCCTGGACAAGTTTTACCTGTTGTTCCTTTTCTCGGGACCCTCTTCTCGACGTCGGGATCGTGGGCGTCAGAGGTTGAAGCTAGGCGAGCTGCTGCTGTTCGAGGCTGGGCTCACATGAAGCGCTTCTGGTCTGTCTGTTCCTCATGGCGTTCGAAAAAAATGGCGTTCAGAAGCAACGTGATAGGCGCTGCGATCTCGGGGCTCACTGCTCTGGTCCTCTCGGCCTCCCAAGTTGCCCGTATTGAGTCTATTTGTCTACGATATCTACGTGTGCTCCTAGGTGGTGTTGCTACCAGGATCGAGGTTGTCAACCCTGGCGGTTCCAAGACTACGGTCATCAGGACCCCCCCCGCACATGTTCTATGGCGCCAAGCGGGACTTGTTCCGATTGACTTAGAGTTGAGGGTCCAGAGGTTGAAAGAGTGGCAGAAAATAGCTCGTAGTCCGGTATACCATGTTCAACAGCTGACGGCGGTCTTCGGGATCTTGGAGGTCGAAGAAGCGGTTCCGTCGTCCTTCTCCTGGTACCCCAGTGCGTGCTCGAGCCCCAAGGATACCTCGAGAGACAACCCATGGGCCAAACAGTTTGTGCAAGATCTTAAGTATATGGAATGTACGGAGGAGGGGAGGGACGTCTTGGAGTTACTTAGGGACGAGGCCAGTGTCATAGACTACTTGGGGATCTTTCGCGGGAACTCCGAGGCCTATGACGCGTTTCAGAAGATCGATATGCAGCAGTTTCGGGCTGAATGGCTGATGAGACCGCTGCCGCCCACGGACGTGTCCCCCGAACCAGGAGAGGTTGCCGAAGGTGAATATTGTTGTACGTATCTTGATGATGATGGCCTTGAATGTGGCCGACGTTTTATATCTAGGCGTGCCCTGCTAGTCCACCAGAGGCAAGCAACTGGTGGTCAACATGGAATCCCGTCCACCATATCCAAGCTAGTTCTCACCAACCAATGTGTTGCTTGCCTGTCGACGTTCAGATGCCGTGATACGGCGGTCAGACATCTTGTGAATTCTTATCGGTTTGGTCGGTGCAGGGTTGACTCGTCGAAGTTCAACCCACCCGTGCAAGATCCTGAGGATAGGTCATGCCCAGTATGCCTGCAGCCTTTTCGGTCTTTTGAGGAGCTTCAGTTTCACCTACGCGATCATCTTCCCATCCCTCTTCCAGAGTTTGTCTGGCATGTGGTCGGCGCTCCCTGTGGCAGCCCCAGCTGCCGCGTCGGCGGCCCCAGCCGTGAGGCGCAAGGTCGAAGGAGGAGGAGGAGGCGGACGGACGAAGAAGGGAACACAGACAAAATCCAATCGGACGGTGTCGAAAGAGGAGATTGCGGAGCTAGAAGAGTACGACGTAAATCAAATAAAAAAGATCGTGCCAGTGCTCATGAAATTGATGATGAACGTGACCATGCGTACAAGACAGGTAGAGGCTATTACTTTGATCACGATGACGATGGCCGAGAACACAGAACCCATCCTGCAGGGACGAGGGAGAGTGAAGGCGTGGGTGGAGGCGGCTCAGGACTTGAGGTCGAGGGGGAAAGAGGCGGAGGTGTCCAAGCTGGGGTCCATCTCGGTGGCGTGTCTAGTAGGGATAGCGGAGGGATGCGAGAAGGTCGGTGTTGCTGTGGGCCAGATGAACCTGCAGCGCCTAAACGAATGGAAGGAAACGAACAACAAGTTGTCACTACCAGAGGTCGTGGCCAAGTATCCCTTTGTGAAAATAGCGACGGCCTTCAAAGAGGGGGAGGCCAAAGTGATGATGCCGAGGATCGAAGACGTCAAACCATTGATCGCCTGTTGCGAGCAGCTCGGGGCACTGGTGAGAGAGGGAGTCGCCCCAATGGGCCACCTGGAGAGAATCCTGCAGACGTTCATGGCAGGCGAGGACATGGATATCTAAATGAACACAGTGCTGACGGTGATGTTGGGATTAATGACAGAATGGCGGTGTCAGATGACATGTGGGTGCCAGATCCTGTTGATGAGAATTATCATGAGTCATCACCGTCGACGATTTCGTTGCGAATTCGAACTTCACGAAGTGTGGAGACCCAGAGTGCGAGTTTATCGACTACGAGTGTGTCGACCGCGACTGGCGCGTCTCGGACGATGGCCGCGAGGACAGCTACGACCTGTCTTGAGGCCCGCCCCCGTGCTGCCTGCCAGGCCGTGGTTTCCCCCCCTCGTCCTCTGTCTCCCTCCGAGCCCTCGTCTCCGACTCCTTTCCCTCCTCCTACCAAGCGTGCTAGAGGTGCTACAATTCGAAGTTTTCGGGACTCTGGATTCGGCGAATCTCTTTCTGGAGCTGCGGCTCGCTTGTTAGGTTTCCATGGGTAAGTTTTGTAGCGTGTTTAGGGTTCTGATACCCTGGAAACTCAGGGCGGACGGTGGTCCGAACATCGCGGCTGGTAAGTCGGTCCTAGGGCTCTCTGATGCTGTCACCATCTGGATCTATGCCCCGATAGGAGTCTGATCTGATCCTCCTCCTCCTCCTCCTCCTCCTCCTCCTCCTCCCCCCCCATCATCCTCGTCATTCTTCTCCTCCCCCTCCTCCTCCTCCTCCTCCTCCTCCTCCTCCTCCTCCTCCTCCTCCTCCTGGGGGCAGCCACCGGCAGGCCACGGCGGGGCACGCCGTGCCCCCGCAGTGCGCGCCGAGGGCGCCACGTGGAGCAGGCGGGCCCCGAGGTCCAAAGGGACGGCTCCCGAGGCGTTCCCCGAGGCGCCGCGCCGCGTTGGCGTTCCCCGAGGCGCCGTCGACCGTCGACCTTGGACGACGACGACGACGACGACGACGAGGACGAGGACGACGAGGACGACGTGGACGAGGACGACGAGGACGACGAGGACGACGACGACGACCAGGCCTCGGAACAAATTAGCGAACACTCATGCCACATTCATCCGTCAACGCCTCCTCCTCCCCCCAATGTTCAGTGTTGGCGGTGGGTCTGATGAGATGCACTTGGACCGCAGTGTCCCCCGCGCGTGCCAACATTGAGTTTGGGGGGGAGGGGGAGTGTTCAGTAATTGTTTCCCTCTACCGACGGCGGCGGCGGCGGCGGCGATGACGACGACGACGACGACGAGGACGACGTCTTCTTTCCTCGTCATCCGTGCTTCGGTACATGCGACTTGCCGGGACATCCCACATCCTACATGCGATTCTCCTCTGCTTGCTGTTCTCAGGGGCGCGAGGTCAACATTCCACCACCACCACCACCTGCACCCCCCTGGCCCTCCCTCCAGCCCCTCCTTCCTCCCCCCCCTCCTGGGCCACCTGCCCGGGCCCCGTGTGGAGCGGCACGGTGCACAGCTCACTTCGGCCCTCGGGGCCGCAAGACGAGGGTGCACCGTGCCGCGCGTGTCGGCCACGCGCAGCGGGGGTACGGTTATGTCGGGCGTGTCCCCCTACAGGGGGATTTTCGACGAAAAATACAAAAATACCGCAAAAATACACCCCCAAAAATAATAATGGGGTATCTTTGATCTTTCGTCGAAAATCCCCCCGTAGGGGGACAGGCCCGACTTAAGGGTACGGGGGGAGGGGGGAAGCCTTCTCAGACACACCCCTGCCTCACGGAAAGCGCGGGCCTTGCCCGCAGATGCAGGGCCGGCGCCTTCTAAGAAGCAGCCTGCCTCTGAGAAGCCTTCCCCCAAGGATAACGACACTGATAACGATGACGGCAACAGCGAGCACAACGATGACGTTATCGCGATCGTGATCGTTATTTGTATCGCTCATCGTTGTTGTCGTTGCTCCCTGCCCCCTCGTGCGTGCCGCCGAGTACGAGGTGAGCGTGCCCTGAGTTTGGGCTCGCTGTGCTCGGCCGCTCGGGGCCGTCCCCGGGCCCGAGGGCGGCCAGGGGGGGGGGGTCTGGGGGGGCCGGGCCAGTCCTGGGGGGAGGCCTCGGTCTGGGACCCGCCGCCCTCGGGGCCCATGTAAAACGACGCGAAGATCGGGACAAAATCGGATCCGGATAACTCGAAATCTCTGAGAATCGGCGGGTTTGGAGGAGGTATTGGGCGCCGCGGCCGCTCCAGAGCGTTCCGGAACGCTCTGAGAGCGCTCCGGAACGCTCTGGAGCGATTTATCCCGATCCTAGCCCTTTTTGACCATGTCTTTCAGGATGGGGAGGCTCTCGGCGGCGAGCCCGGAGGGGAGCGAGAAGGGGCGGGCGTGCTCAGAAGGCTCGGAAGTCCCCAGGCCCTCTCCGAGAACTTTTCCGAGCCTTCCCTGGCGGCGCAGAAGTCTTCTCAGGAG